AGTTTAGAATTGAAATTGGGGTAAATTGAGACCAATTGGCTAGACATTTGAGGTAATTTGGGGAAAATATGGGCATTTAAAGGGCAATTTGGGGGTTTTGATCAAATATGGTCAAATTGGGTCATGTGATTGTTGAAAACAATGAAATTGAGAATATTTGAGAGGTTTTGAGAATTTTTGGGATTTTTTGGAATTTTTGGAATTTTGGGGTAAGGAGGGGTATTTTGGTAATTTGGCCAATTTTGGTGATTTTGGGTAGTTTGGGTGTTTTCAAGGTGCTTGAAATGATTTTTGAGTCAAGTAGGGTATTTTGGTTAGGTTTGGAAAATTTGGCCAAATTTGGGGTCCCAAATGTATCTATGTAATTTGGGGGAATTTAGGAGCAAAATGCTAGGTTGGGTGTCTTGGTAGAGTTGAGGTACCAACCACCATCAATATAGGACAAATGGAAACCCCATTTTGGGTCCTATATTTAGTGATCTTAGCCAAACCCTAGCCCAAGCCAAATGAGTTTAGGGGACCACCTACATGAGTCTCCCAAAAGTATGGAGGGATCAAAACCTAGAAGTTTAAGTTTAGGATAGTGAGTGATTGTGAGTGCAAGTGAGAGTGCCTTAGCCTTAGACCAACACCCAGGGTCAACCCTAAGGTCTAACAGTCCTAAGGGTGACTCATCTTAAGTTTCCCCCATAGTGACCCCACCTACTAAGTGCTAGAGGTTAGGATCAATATGTGCAACTCCAAGTTGAGTAGAGAAGAGCGTAGAATTTCTAATAGTGAGGGTTCCTTGTTTAGTTTTCTAAGAATAGTCAATAGGAAAGCCCTATGGCTAGACTATAAGCTACTAAAGAGAAAAAATTAAACCTCAACCAAAAGTGAGGTCAACAACAAGTCTTTGATTTTTAATTAATTAAATACTTTCTGCAATGTATTAATTTTAATTAAACATTTATAATCATCATGGCTTGAGATTTTAGGATTTGTTCCTCATGAAAGTGGATAAGTTTTGTGATTTTTTCAAAGTCGGAAGGCATCTCTACACATGTAACCCCAATTTATAAGTTTAGATAACTATTTTGCTTAAAATAATTATAACAATTGAAATATAAATCAGAAAATTATGGGACCTATTTTGGTAGGTTTCCTGTGGTCAGAGGACTTCTGGAAAATTGTAAATTAAGTTTGAATGTTTATGTAAATTACTATAATTAATTAAACCACTAAAATTAAATAAATTTATTATATTTCAAAAATTAGCAAAATCAATTCCACACTATAAATAATGATTATTTTAACTCACTGTTAAAATCTAAAATTTATTTGATTAAGTTTTACTACTAAGGTTGATTTTCTAAATAAAATGACATTTTTGGCATTAAAATAATTTTAATAAATTAAAAATAAATAAGAAAATTATGAAAAGTTGTTCTCTGAGTTCCTTGTTATGAGCAACATTTAGAAAAAATAAAAATTATTTTTAAATAAATACTTTATTTTTTGAGTATATTTTTTGAATTAAAAATAATAAAAAAGTAATTCAAAATTTCTAAAAGAAAAAAAAAGGTTTAAGATGTTCCTAATCACTTTCTGATCACTTGGGACTCATTAGAATATTTTTTCTAATTTTTCTAAGTAAAATATAATTTTTTTAGGCTGAAAATATTTTTTCTCTAATTTTCCATTAAAATAATTATAATAAATAAATTAAAAATCACAAAAATGAAAAGTTTATTTCTCTGAGTTTTTTGGACTTAGAGAGATTTAATAAAGATATAAAAATTAATTTTTTCAATTAAAACATATTTTCTATTTAATTAAATCATTAAAATAAATAAATAATTATAATAATTAAAATATAATTTTTAAAATTATAAAATTTTTTCCAAGTGGTCTAATTTTCTCATGACCAAAAAACTTTCCTTTGATTAGTGAAATAAATTAATATTAAAATTCTTATTTTCTAAGTTAAAATAATTATTTAAGTTAAATTAAAATTGGAAAAATCACATTTTCTAATCTGATATTTCAATTGACCCATGAATGAGGCACTCTAAAAATTTTAAAGTCATTTAAGTTATATTTGATAAACTATGGAGTGGAGAGCCCTAAGGGAAAAATTATAATTTTAGATTTTGATGTCTTAATTAAAATTTAGGATTAACCAGAGGGTAAGTAGGTAATTTTGATCCTAATGAACCCTTTTTGATGTTTGAAACATAGTGGGTTAAAAGGTAGAAACCAATTTATCATTTTTTCCTGATAAGACTAAAACTGTAATTTTATAAATTATCATGACTTTGGAAGTCAATATAATTAGGAGATTCTAAACTTATGGGCTTAAGTTGGGAAGATAATAATTCACTTATTTGAAGCCTATAATTGGTGATATTATGATCTCTTGATAAGAATATATTCCACTTGAATTAAATATTCTGATAATTACAAATTTACCCATTAAATTGTTTAGGTCTTAGTAGTGAACTAGACTTGATATTTATACTTGTTTAATGAATTTTAGAAAACATGAGATAATGAATTATGAACATTTTTAAAACACTATAAAGCCCAACTTTAGTGGTTAATGACTTAAACTTGTCTTAGGGGCACCCACTTACATAACTTTTAAATAAAACATTGAGCGAATATTTGAACTACCCCACTCTTGGGATAATTAAAATATCAGGTTCACTAAGCATAAGGTGTATTAATTCATTGAAACTAAATTCAAAACTTGGGATGATCAATTAAACAATATAATAAGTTCAAATGAACTCGAAACACCTCAAATGATTTAAAAGTTGTTAGGGATTGTTCCCCAAATGTTTTTATGACCTTTTGGATGTTTTGATATTTAAACTTGTTTAATGATTATATTGTTTCCCAAATGCTTTTATGACCAAATTAAGTGTGGTTTGTTTCTATACCTTCATATAAGTGAGACGAACACATCTATACGACTAGGTACATATGGATTGTGCATTTCTTTCATAAAAGGCCAAATCGAGGCAAAATTAGGGGTTTCGAGCTTATACCTTTACCCAAGAGGTAATGTCTCGATTGGGTTGGTTGAGAAGCTTCGTCTTGATGCAACGAACCTTCTCCAAGCTTCAATTTCCTCTTTGGTTGAGCCTAGGTACGAGATAGATCAAAGGGTCGCTCAAGTGTGGTCTAGAGCTACGCTAGAGGCCACGGAAGCAGTGGATTTTGATTGGGGAAATGGTTTTGAACTACGGAAAGCTTTCGGAACAATCAATTCAAAGTTTAGGTGGAGTTGATTTAATGGCTGAAAAACTAACCTTCCAACCATTAGGCTAAGGATGCTTACATGGCTCTTGGTTTTTCAAAAATCAAATAGTTACAAAGATGTAGTGACCACTCAAATATAAATTTAATATACGCGAAATTAAATTTCAGACCTTCACAAAAAGTGAAAATTCTCCCAGTTTGCACGTATTGGGCCTTCACTTAGAGCGCATGAGTGAGAAGTCTGACAGTGAAGTCTTATTTTGACAGACAGAGAAAGAGAGACTGACACTATACAACATTTAAAGGCAATACATACGTAGCTTGATCCCTGCAGCTTGATCCCTGCTCTCTCTCTCTCCCTCTCCCTCTTATGCTTCTGAGAAGTACAGAGAGATCATGAAGAAATCTTACAATTTCTCAGAAGAAAGCAAGAGAGCTGATCAATCCAGTTCCCCATATAATGGAGCTCTGCTTCTCCCCATGGCTTCCAGTATCTCTGCTCCTGCTTTGCTGAGCCAAAACAGAGACTTTCCACCATCATCTTCTTCATCTTTCTCCACAGATGCACGCACGGTAGCTGCTCTGAGGACTCACAGTCTGGCCGAGAAGAGAAGAAGAGAGAGGATTAATGCTCATTTAGCTACTCTCAGGCACATGACCCCCAATTCTAGTAAGGTGTTTCTCTCTCTCTCTCTCTCCCTCTCCCCTAAACTTTTTTTACTTAACATTAATTAAAGTTGATTAATCTTCTAATCTGATCGCATAAATCAGTGACAAGATTATGGGATTGAATCATAAGAGAGAAAGAAAAAAAGTAAGAATATACTGAAATGATTTAGAAAGAGGCTCTTGTGAGGAATCATGATTTGTGTTGTGTTTGTATGCGCTTTTATTGTATTAAAATTTGTAATCTGATTATTAATTTTAATTAACTCTAGTAATATTTTTTTTCTGTCTATTTTCTTTTTATTTAAAAAATTAGGAAGATTTACATACATACCACTCCATTCTTTAATATTAATATATCTAACACAAAAATTTCAATTTTTACTGGTCATTTTCTCTATCAACGCTGATTTTGCTTTTAAGAAAACTTTATTTCACTTATTAAAAGGTAAAATAGTGATATTTTTTTATTTTGATGTGATGTAAAAGATTTGAGTGACATGAATGTAATAATTAAAATTTAGGCGCTAACGCAAAAAAGTAAGCATAGTGGTAAGTATGTAATTGCTACATTAATTTTTGTTACCTTAGCTTTGATTTTATGGTGCAATTTGTAGCTTTAATTTTGGTTTCTCCACTAATCGATATACATCATTCAAAGAATAAACCTTTCATGAATTAATGAATCAGAAAGAACGGAGGACTTGGTTAGAAAATGATATTACCTTTTAATAAGATAGATTTGAATTTGAAAATATGACACAAACGTGGAAGAATTGTCCTCTGGCAAGCAAACCATATAAGGATCTAATTATGCAGCTCCACATTAAATTATTAGCCTTGTAATTATGCTTAGGAGTCAACATAAGGAGTGATTTAACACCATATAGATGATAAGCATTACATAAAATATTTCCACTGACAACTAATATATATATTTTACGGTGGGCTTTGCGTGTAAAGGAAAGATTGGATAAGGCTTAGGAGTGACATACAGTACACATTCGTGATTGCGAGGCTTGCCCAATGATTTGATAGATTAGTGATTTATGTATCATAATTTAAATTATTTGAGCCGTTGGTTTGTTGAAGTAGCACTATATGTTGCCCACTTAGAATGATATGATAAGATTGTGGCTCCCTTGCTATTTTTCTTCCATGAAAACCGTCCATTTGTTAATGGATCAACAGCCAGTCATTTCAATCATCACGTGTTGTTCTTTCTTTATTTTGCTTGATTTAAAAAAAAAAAAAGAGATGATTAATGGTTTTTTGTTTGGTTAAAAAAACATTATGAGAAATGTTAATGAGGTTGATGTGTGATGATGATGATGATGATGACTTAGAATGAGGGATGAATGTATAAATCAATCATGTATTATATCATTTAGCTGAATAATTATGAAAGGGGAATGAAAAATAATAAAATAATTCAATTAAATTTGACTTTCGGCTTACTTATTTCATTATCAGTAGAAGGCATGAGTCTCAATGATGATTTGATATTTTCTTTTCATATTTTTCTTAAAATTGAAAAAAAAAAACATATTTTTCATGCAAATCAAACCTTTCATATTTTTCTTAAAATTGAAAAAAAAAAACATATTTTTCATGCAAATCAAACCATATCTAATCACCTAAAAATCACAACTAGCATAAAATCGTAAAATAAAATAAGTTTATATTACATCTAATCCCTTGAAACCAAACAAAACCTCATTGTAGATGGACAAAGCATCTCTACTCGCGCGAGTGATCGAACAAGTGAGAGATCTGAACCGAAATGCTGCCAACATAAACAAAATCTCAGCCATTCCTTCAGAGATGAATCGAGTGACTGTAGAATGTATCAGTGGGGGCTTAATCAGATCACCATTCTCCTCTTGTGCTGATGAAAATAGACACATAAAGGCCACTCTTTGCTGCAACGATAGACCAGATCTCTTCTCGGATTTAATGAGGGCGTTTCACATACTGAGGCTCACAGCAATAAGAGCCGAGCTGACATCAGTGGGAGGAAGAGCACAAAATGTCTTCACTCTATGCAGGAATGATGGCAGTGAAAATGTGTGCATGAGTTCTCTTATGGAATCTATCAGAAATGTTCTCAATGAGATTGCTTCTTCAGAGGATTCTGCTTTCGTTGATCGATCAGAGAAGAGGCAAAGGTTTTTGGCTACAAATTACTTTAATATGACTGTTTAGGATGGAGTAGTTAGAATTGATGAATTTTATTAGGTTTTTAGTATTTGGTTGGATGGAATGGCCATTTTGTTTGTAGAAATGAACTGGTTTTGAAAAATGATGAGATTTAGTAGATTGCGTTGTGTTTTGGTTGGTTGTAATGAGAAATAAATGTGAACTTTACTTCAGTTTGATGAATCTCTTAAATGCAATAGTTTTTCACACACCCAAATGAATGCACTTTGTATATGCAAAGCCTTGAACTTACAAAATTTTGGTTGAACGCCAATGCTGCCAACTAGTAGGCCAAAGTGGCTTTTATTTTTGAATTTAACGGTTCAATTTGTTTTCAATCATAAAGTGAGCGTTATTTCTTAAATTATTTTTTATTTATAAGAAAACTTCATTATTAGAAATCAATATGAGTGTTATACTTAATAAATAATTTTCCTGAATACATCAATTTTTTTATATAATTATAATATGTTGTGCTTGTGAGGCTGTAAGTATAGTGATTACTGTTCCACTTTGAATGATTTAATACTATGTTATTATAAATATCAAATGATAACTGACCAAGTTTAATTTTTTAATATTTTAAGTTGAAAACTATTTTAATCATTAATATATCTTGCTCAAATTTGATTTACTTTGTTTCATTCCCTGATAAAATATGCCCATAAACAAAATCTAAAATTTGAATTTGGCTTCACTATCATAATAGTTTAAATTCTTTGACATTTGTTGATGGTTTCACCATTGATTTTTTTATCCACTGCTGCTTTTAAGTTTCTTAAAGAAGAAATTTAGCTACTAAACAATTCATTTTTCTACTACAAACTTTTTTCTTGTAAAATTTAAAATAAACTTAACCAACACTAATGTTTAACACATCATTGCTTGATTTCTAAATAGGGAAGTGACACATTCCACCATATTTCTCCTTTCAGGCAAATGAATTCTCTTCTTATGACAAATGATGCTATGAAATGTTATCTTCTTTTAATTCTTTTCAATGATGTATCTTTGGGATGGTTCACTTTGTTTTTTTTCAAGAAATATCACTTCTTTCATTGATAGATGTGATAACTCTATAACTAGTTTCTTGAACATAAGTTAAGATTTGGGGAATTATTCTAACATTATATTACACATTTTTATTGAGATTTAGTGGACATATAAAATACTGAACATGCATGTATTTAGGCCTCTAAAATGTTTTCTTTGCCACACACTTGGATTATAATAATCAAAGACATTGGATGAATGATTATAACAAGTTAATAGACTTTCCATATGATGTAATGTAATCATGAGGCAATGACTTCCAAGGCATTCCACTCCAGTCTCAAAGTATGTTCATATTGAAATTCATAATGTTAATAAAATATGAGATGCTAACAATGAGATAAGTTGACTGAGAGGAAACATCATTTACTATATCATAAATGATTTTGCAAAGAGATCCAAAAAAGAATTATCATGACTTGTGATATCTGAAAAGGGGCGAGGTTACATCAATTTTTAACTTCTCAAGCCTACACTTCTCTTTGAGTGTCTCTGGCCAAGTATATATATCTCATACTTTATAAGGAGTACTTTTCTTACCCACTATAAATATGTCAATGACATGTACTCATGACAAAGAAAATTTTATTTTTCATAAAGACCATGATAATATCATAGATAATTATTACAAACTTTAGGATCTTATGAGATAACCAATTCATGCTAGCAAGCTCAATGAGTTCACCCTTACAATTCCAAGATGATGCTTGTACAAAGTACCAATTAAATTAAATAAGAATGAGTTTGTCCTGACAAGGAAATTCCATATTCAAGGGAAAATTATAATAATTCTTAATATTGTTAGGGCTAACATTTCATGGTAGGTGAGCCTCAAGTGACTCTAGATTGAAGTGGTTCATAGTGTCCCAAACTAGAATCTTTTGGGATGTCTATCACTTTCATTATTTTTGATTAACTATAAACTAAGAATCTTTAAAATAGTGCTATAATCATTGCATGTTTTAATATTAAACAATAGATTAATTGTGACGTTAAAAAATTCATTTTCTTTTTCTTTAAAGAATATTTTTGATTAAATGAACCCTTAATATCCTTCCAAGTTATTACTCATTATTGGTCCTCATTATAGTTTTTATGGTAAGCATAGGGTGACTAAATATTATAGGATGGTGGTGCATGGTGAATGGAGAGCTTTTAAAGGTGAAGCTTGGCTATTGCACAATAAAAGGGAAAATAGAGTTTAATAATATTATTATATATTATTAAAAAGGCAACCATTTAAACGATATTGCATGCTTCATCCATTATTAAAATTATGATACAAATAATATTTTATGGGCAATACATCAAAGTTTTCAAAAAAGAGTGCATTGTTTATTAAAACTTAAATAACTTTTGTAAATACTTTATTAGTCCAACTCTTCTTAAATTAAACTTTGAGTGCAAGAGAAAGAGTTTCGTTTAATTAATAACTTTAAATTATCTTAACTAGCGCTTCATTGATAAACTCCTCTTTAATTGAAGGCTTGCTTTCAGGGAGAGAAAGTGTTATTTAATGTAGAATTTTAAATTGCCTCTTACTTTATTATTTTTACTCTTTAATTTAAGCCTTACTTTAAAGGAGAGTATTATTTATTTTAAAATTTTAATTTGCCTTTAATAATGCTTTAATTGTATAACTCTTAATTTAATTTTAATTTACATTATTTGAGATTACTCCTCTTTAATTTAAGATATAACTTCCTCCATTTTAATTATTTTGCATCATAAGACACCCCAAATTATGGAGAAAAGGGAAGAAATCCACTCGAATGATTCTTATGCTTAAGAATGTTAATCCAAAACATGAGAGGCTTCATCTTTTATGTATGGGATTCCACTTATAAGGCTCAATCATGTCTGGCTTTCCAACTAACTCACACAATGATGACTTGATAAGAATAATTGATAATACTCCTTGATAAAAGTTGCACAACTAATGGTTTCTTTTTCTTATTTTAAAGCATACTATTCTCCATTTAAAAAGTACATATGTAATTATCGATTTCTAAAGTGAGCAAGGTGCAATGTGATTCAAGAGCATGCAACTCAAAATTATGTAATATAGAAGGAGTTGATGATCGATGTCAGCCAAATTACTGTGAGTTCTAAATGCATGGATCGTAGTAATAAGACTATTCTGATCAGACACTTAATATTGAGCTATGCACTTTGTAAAAGACCAGTGTTGAGGGAGAGAGAGGAGAAGTGAATCTATCGTAAGGGTGTTATCACTAAAGATAAAATCCAATCCTATAATAGCTACGAGGAAATGGTCCCCTTCCCCCTCCTATAGTATCTTCCTGCCCCCATTCTTTGGTTGAGCAAATTTGGGAGCTTGGGGTGATGTCCCCTTCATCCGCTGCAAGGCTGGCCATTTAGAGCACAATCAATCTCAACAATTTGTGTGGGAAGCCCAAGTGCTTGGTTAGTACTTCAGAGACAGTTAGACGGACCTTCTCACACCTCCTACTTATAATTTATATTTGGTTGTTAAACCAAGCAGTGACGCTAGATGAATACAATGATGATGGTTATTACAAGTTAGCTGAAGAATACAATATAAATTTTTATGTATTTTTCATTCTTACCTTTATCTCCTATTGTACCTTTTATCTTGATTTATATTTTAATGAAAGTTTCATTATGGTATCGTTGGTATGTATGTGTAAATTACTTATGGAAAAAATCACCCTATTCACAAAAAGCCTAAATTTTAGCTTAACACCATGATGTCAGTAAACAGTGCCACAATGCCAACTTCACAGAGCCTTAGTATCAATCAAGACTGTCGCGATATTATGACACCTGAGAGATAAAACCCTTCGGTTTTGATGTTAGTACCGCAACACCCTTTCTCAGCGTCACAATACCACCACCCTAGAGCTACAACATTGATGATAAGTGACACGACATTGAGCTACCCAAGAGGTATAACTCTTGAGTTCCAGGCCCGATACTACAATGCCAAGATCTAGCAGCACTTGTGTTTGATGCCATTACTAATAGAGCCATGGTTCTAATGTTTGGCCTTCTCATGCTAAAAAGATGATTATCAATCTGTAAAGTTGTGGCATCACGTGGAAGCTTTGTAACACTACATATTAGCATCGCAATACAACACAAGTCAACTCTCTCAGTCTTGATGGTGGTAGCTAATTGGATGGTAGTCATGATAACTTCTTATATGGAATCTTCCGTCTCATCAGTTTCACGATCCCACTAGCTAATGTCATGGCACCACATTAATGTGTGTTAGTGCCTCACAACACAATCTCTATCCTATTGGCTAATGTGGCACTTGACACTTCTGCCACACCATTGTGCCAATGGTTTAGAGCCATGACACCCATACTAAAGGACATTTCATGCTTAGTACACATCGTGCAGTGACCACTATCATTGATTAACGTGATGCTAACATGCTAGTAGTTAGCGATGCCACATTTTATGACACCATGACACTAATCTAAATGATGAAATCCATATCTTACACTATGCAACATAAAACAATTTTTAAATAAACTTATATGATATTTTCCATGACAGTAGCGCTGCGGTGCCAAATCAACTTTTTTCCCTTTAAAAAGGGTGGCCTAAGGACTCACCTAGGGTTAGATTATTGGCTTTTTGGGGCTTTCGGTTACCCTCTAGTCAAAACTAGCCATATTTTTTCTTCTCTTTTTCCTGAGCATGCTAGTGACAATTCTGTGGCACTGAGAGTAGCTTTGCAACAATATACTAGTTTGAGATAGGATGACATTGAAATATCATAAAAATGATGATCATCACTATCCTGAGAAGTCCACGGTGCCTAGATGCTAGAAAATTATGCCTAGACGGTAGGCTAAACAAGCATGGTTGGAGCAGTAATGCCTGAAGGTAGTATTGTAGCACAAGGGCCAAATTAAAGGGGTTAATCGTTTTCTTTGCTTAAAAAAAGAGAAATAGGTGTAGGAAACCAAACATAAATGCTTCCTTTCATAAAAAATATAATCCTAGCTCTCTAACACAATGCTTAAGGGATACAAGAGAAGGAAATGATGTAGGAATCATACCTATGTGAAGATTGACAA